AATCACTCTCCAATATTTTTTGACGATCTATATCTCATTCATTTCAACTCGGATTTCATATTTTTCTCTATAAAAAATTGAACTAATCATACTACAAAATGACATTCACTCTCATATTCGAAATAAAAATACGTTAATGGAGGCGTCATATACCATGGTAGTATACATGGCAAAAATATTTTAAACAAAATTCATCATGGATATTATTTTGTTGATCATAGTTGTGATTCATTTTTTGTTTACAATTTTTTAAAATCAACTTAAGACAAAGAAAATATAATTAATAAATTGATTGGATCCATGAAAATGAAATAAATTATGTCTAGAAAAAAGGAAAATCATGTACATAAAATTGCATTAGAGAAAAGGTAAATCCATAGTTTTCAATAATTATGCAGGAAGGAAAAGAAAAGGAAGGAAAAGAAAAGTACTTTCAAAAAAATAAAAACAAAACCATAAGAAATTTGAATTGCATTAGAGAAAAATTAGTATTATCATTTCTGATAAGTGATGGATGTCGAATTTGATTCGTCGAGATGATACATTACATATATATACGGTCTATTATGATGATAATTCACAACAATCAATAATATTCTTACACATATAAAAATATTATATATTATGATGTCACATGGCTAGACTATATTGATATAGTTGAGTTATCCTACAATGTAGGAAAATGTCACATGAACCCATGAATGCGATAATTTTTACTTAGCAAGACAATATCTTCACTTTGTCATATTATTTCCAACTAATGTATTAAGCATAAAAAATGTGACTTATGTTTTCTAGTAAATCATAATATAAATATGTTAGTTCATATAATTATTATCTTACAGAACATATGTTTATATTTTAATGTTTTATAATACTAAAGAGTGTTCTTCTTTAATTTGTCATTTTCAATTTGGAAATTATATAAAAATTAAATAAAAAGTCAAATTTCGGTAGTGACTTAGTTTTATTTTCCACTTAATTTTTTTATTTATGATCGCGTTCTAACATTGTATAATTTTTGAAAATATATTTTATTTTCTATTTATTTATTATGATGAAAAATATAGAATAAAACTTATCCATGGTTTTAAAAAAATGAAGTATGAGGTTAACTGATAATGTATAATGATCATGGTAAGATGTAATATTTTAAAGTAATTTCATAACTATGACTAATAATATTCTTGTGCTTTATATCTTGACATAGAACTTACATATTGGTTAAATGTGTAAGCTATAATAATAATTTGGACTCGTAGGTTGTAAGTTTGAATCTTAGTGATGATGATTATATACTTATTTAGTTTTAGCTCAGTGGAGCTTAATAAATTGTTAAAAGGGTAAACAATTAAAATGATATGGAAATTTATGGATCATCTTGCATCGTATGAAGCAAAAAGTTGCTCATACTCCACATATTTATGGTCTTATAGAGCAAATGTTTATGTTTTAGTGTTGTATAATACTAAAGAGTGTTATTCTTCACGTTCTCATTTTTCATTTTGAAATAAAAATTATATTAAATTTATAGAAGGTTAAATTTGGTTAGTAACTGAATTTTACTTTTCATTTATTTTTTACTTATGATTGTGTTCGAACATAGATAAATAATTATTGACAATATATCTTTATTTTTAATAATTTATTATGACGAAAGAAAATAGAATACACAACTTATCCATAAAATTTTCTAGTATATTTTTAAGGTTATTTCTAGTATAATTAATGTAGAAATAAAAGTACTTTTTTAAAAATGGAGCATGAGATTAAGTGATAAGGTAAAATGATTATGGTAAGATGTTAGATTTTAAACTCATTTCATAACATGATTGCTAATCTTATTGTACTTAGTATCATCAAGTAGAATTTAGCCTATTGGTTAAATGTGTTAATAATTTGGACTTATAGGTTGCAAATTCAAATCCTAGTGATAACAATTATATGGTTATTTAGTTTTAGCTAAGTGGAACGTAATAAATTATTAAAAACAAGCTTCTAACTAGTATTTTAACATGTATACCAGTGGAAGTAGTGCCATCGCTTGGACCATCATCATTGGTTCCAGTTACTATAAGCTTCTGATGAGGTTTAGCATTTCCACTAAATGACACTTCTGAAATCTCAAAATTCACAAGCTGACCCGACTCCCGCTCGTACGCCTTGAGGATTGACTTGAAAGTTATGCTCTCTTGCGCATTCGCTCGGCCAAAGAACACTGCATCATCTGCGAAAAAAAGATGAGACACAATCGGCGCACCCCTAGCCGGTTGGACTCCGTGGAAATTCTTCTCATGGACATCCTTCTTTGTGTAAGCCGACAAACCCTCTGCATAGAGCATGAAAAGATATGGGAACAGCGAGTCACCCTGGCGGAGACCTCTACTCTTAGCGAAGCTCGGGGACTGGTTTTCATTAACCAAGACTGAGTACGTTACTGATTTAACGCACATCATCACCAGCTCACACCATCTCGGCGAGAACCCCATTTTTGTCATCACACCCTCTAGGAAGTGCCATTCCACTCTGTCGTATGCTTTTGCCATGTCAATCTTGGCTACAAAAAACTCCGTACCAACCTTCTTCTTCTTTTTCATGGAGTGAAAGCATTCGAAAGCGGCCATGATATTGTCTGTTATGAAATGCCCAGGGACAAAAGCGCTTTGCTCCACCGATATCACCCGATCCAAGAGAGGCTCTAGTCTGTTTGCTAAAAACTTTGCTACCAGTTTGTACAACACATTACATAGACTTATTGGTTAGAATTCCTTAGGTGAAGTAGGATTCTTTACATTCGGAATCAGAGCAATAAGAGTATGATTCAGATTCTCCGGTATAACCTATTTCCAAGATCCCAAGTATAGTGGCTACAACATCGTCTCCCACTATGTGCAGTAGCTCCGAAAGAAGAAGACTGACATGCCATCGGCACCCGAAGCTTTCTTCTTCCCCATCTGTTTTAATGCCGAAACAACTTCCTCTCTGTCGAAAGGCTAAGAAGTATTACGTTTTGGTCGTCCGTGATCATCTGTGGGATCGACTCCAAAACCAGAGTTTCATTTGGCACTTCCCCTGCGGTAAACAAAACACGAAAGTAGGAGGTTAAGAAATTAAACAGTTTCTCCAGCCCTCGCACCCACACTCCATTGTCGTCTTTCAGTCGCTTGATAGTGTTCCGCCTACATCTCACCGAAGCTTTACTGTGGAAAAAATTAGTGTTACAGTCTCCTCCTTTTAGCCAATCGGCCCTTGAGCGTTGCTTCTAGTAATGCTCTTCATTGTGATCGAGTTCCTCCTCTTCCTTGTCCAACTGTTTGAGTTGTGTCTCTACCACAGGGGAGCGTCGGGTTCGTTCGAGCGTCTTCCGAGCTCTCCTGATGCGCGCTCTATGGATCCGGAAGTTTGGGAAGGCTGTTCGGCTCCATTGCTCAAGTTTTAACCTGCAAGATAGCAATTTTGTTAGAGTATCCGCCTGTGGGTCTTGCTTCCATGCCTCCTCGATCACTTTCGGGCACTCTCCATGTCGTACCTAGTGGGGGTCGAACTTAAACGACCATCCCCACTTTGACTCCTCATCTTCCTCCCCATTCGTATCACATAACATAGGCCTATGGTCAGATCTCTCCTTATCAAGGTGACGCACCCGGGCAGTTGGGAAGACTGAAGAGAGTCTTCCAACCATCATTTGCGACAAATCCATCAATCCTTTTCCTCAATATATATGTCTCTAGATCATCGATTATCCCAAGTGAACTGATAGCCGCTGTACCTTAAATCAAATAATTCAGCTCCCATAATGCACGTATGAAAATCCATCATTTCTCTCTCAGCTCCTGCCCAGCTCCCACTAAAAGTAACCTTAGTAAAAGAAAGTTGAAACTTTTCCTTTCAGAGCGAATCTATTGTTGAAGTTATACCATAATAATAATAATAATAATAATAATAAGAATTTCCCAGCATTCCGTTCCGTGTTTCGTTCAGTAACAATGCACCACCATACAAGACATAGAACCCACACACAGCACATGAAGAAAATCAGTGTGAGTGCCCTAGAGCAACAAAGAGACAAGGAGGCAGCATCAGCGGCGGATCTAGGGCTGGGCCAACCCAGGCCACGGCCCAGCCCTCCTCCGGATCCAGGTAGTATAGTACTTATAAATTTTTCGATTTTAGGTATTTGGTCCAGTGTTATTTATAAATCGGTTTAGTGTTATTTGATAATAGGATTTTGTGTAACTAGGAAAATGGTCTAGGTGAACATATCCAAACCACTACTTTAAATTTAGCGTAGAAAATCTAGCCCGAATGATTTTCATTTGAAAAAAAAACAATAAAATCTAAAACGTAAAAGAGTAAGTATAAAATTTCATTGAAATAAATAAAATCTCTATAAACTAAATTTCACCCTGTCAAAACTATAAAAAAAAAAACCCAATCTCCCCAAAACAAAAACAAGAACGAGGAGACGAACGAATCCAAAATGGATTCCTCCGCCAGTCCGCCGAGCACTGATTTTCTTTTCCAAATTGACATTGTAATGAATGAAAATTATAGTTATTATATATTTTTTTGTTTACGGTATCCAATATTCTATTCAAATGCGGCCCAGTGCTCTATAATGTCCTGGATCCGCCGCTGGGCAGCACAGGCCAGAGAGACCAGATAACCCAAGCTGCATGTGTCTGGCCCCCTTTCCTTTCCACTGCATTAGACAAAAACACCAATCACTCCATTCAACAAAGTCTTGCCTGGCAGTGGCACAGCAGCAGCAAACACGCCCATTCCATTAGCTAAATCCTCTCGTTAGAAGACACGAAGAATGCGAAACCGGATCTATTTAGGACGTTAAATAGAAATTCAGTATTGGTCTCACGACAGCATCATCGGCATGGGCTGAGGCAATAATACACTCACACTCTCTCCCTCCACAATAATTTCTTTACCTATATTTCCCATCTAAAAAACACAACCAGAAAAAAAGAAGAGAATCATCCAACACAATGAAAGCTCTGTATCTTCTTCCATTCCTCTGTCTCCTGGCAACTGCTCTATATTTCTCTTCCCATGGTTTCAGCTCGTCGTCTACTAATTTGGTTCCCATTCCGAGCAGGAGATCTATGCGAGAGTGGAACATCCCCACATCTATCACACAACTTTATGTATACGGCAACAAGAAGGTATGTGAATGTCCTTGCCACCGTCTAAGTTTTGCTCTGCTTATTCATGCTACAGCTAGCTAGAAATGTGTCTCGACATCAATCAATCCTTGTCCTTGTAGCTCATGTTGCCTATATGTATAATCTTGCAATTGCAGGATCTGGAGCAAGACGAACAGAAGAATATCAAGGAACACGAGGAACTAGTGGAGAATGTCAACGATAGTAACCATGTCAATGAGCTTATCTACCACATCGATTACAATGGTGTGACAACTCATCCGACTCCAAGGGATAGACCGTAGAAAGAATCATGCTATATCGTTAAGTTTCCAGGTGTAGAAAGTGAATATTGAATTGTCATCGGGTGAGAGATCCACTTACATTTTAGGCTGTTCAGCAAGCTACTCCAACTTGGCTAATGGAACTAAATCCATAGCGCTCTGAATCTTTAATCCTTTTGGCCATGGTGGTAGAATACTGAACACATTCCCTAGCACAAGTTTTTTTCCTTCTTCTTCTGATGCAAAGAGAGCATTCCGTAGGTGTATTCATTTTTAATCTTTTTGTACTTCTCAAGTAGAATTTTGTAGCTACAAATTCCATCATCAAACGAGGCTTCATTGCAGAAACTGGGTTTAACTAGAGTTGTCTGTTCGGTTAATCGAACCGAAACCTTTTAAAAAAACGCTATAGATTGTTTCCCCAAAATCAAAACCGAATCCGTTAAGAGACTTTATCGAATTTTGGTTAATCGAAAATCGATAAGCCACTTAACGAGTTCGGTTTCGGTTGAAACAAACGGAGAACCTAAACCCTTGCCCCCTTTATAATGTTCTCGGTTAGGAGAAATTTTACAATGCTATATAATATTGGTGCTATAGGTTTTTGCCTTTATGGTACAACTTAAAATTGTACATTTACGTTATGGTACAACTTTAGATTGTACCTATACTTTTTGTGTTAATTCTTTTATGGTACAACTTGAACTTGTACGTTTATGTGATGGTACAACTTCAAGTTGTAAAGTTGTACCATAACATAATGGTACAAATTGCTTTATATTACAACCTAAACTTATACATTTTATGTTATGGTACAACTTTGAGTTGTACATTAAAGCACCAATGCTATATAGTATAGTAGAAGTGCTCCTCGGTTAGAGCAAGGTACAAGCTCGGTTTCGATTTTTTATAGATTTTCGGTTTTAATAAAAAACCAGAAGCATTAAAATATAAGCCAATTCTGAACCAAAAATCCGGGTCTGATAAGATTTTTCTCCATTTTATTTCAATCTAAACCGACAAACCGAACTCAATTTCCTCATCCCTATTTGGCCTAGAAAAAATACAATTTGGTAAAAACAATCACATATTCTCTCTATTTTTTGGCCCAGAACCACTTTAGCCCGACGTGGGTTCTGGTGCTTAAACCCAAAACCTTAAGCAGTTGCTTAAACTTCTCCTATTGGCTTATAGGAAATTAGTTAATCTATGGATGTTAGTTGTTAGTCGGTGGTTAAAGGGTAATTAGGGCATTAGGAGATTTTAATTATTTTGAAATCTAACGTGATATATTTAGTTAGGGTTTATACATTTTCTCCGCCCTCGGCTTGTTTCAAGGAAAGATTTTCCCCTCTCCCCTTCAACCTTCCGACTGTGCATCTCCTCTTGCGGCTGCACAACAATCTCCTCATCAAGATCCAGGCGACACTTGTAACTTCCAAAAAAATGGACCGTCCACTTTCCTACCGCCCGACGTTGGAGGTGGAATAGGCTCTACGATCGAGACGGTCGTTTTGCCAGGTCGGCAACCACGAGATCTAACTGTCGGTGTCGAGCTTTAGATGGAGTTCTTGTTGCGGAGTGCCGAAGCCGACGGCGACGAGTTAGTTTCCGCACCCATGGAGCGACTGCAGGCCGGAACTATACGGTGACCTCTCCACGACAAGACGAATCTAAAGCCTAAGAAGCGGCGGCAAACGAGCGCTGATGATATGTCGCGCCTATAACTGGGAGCGCATGTTCTTGGTTAATTAATAATATTCTTGTGAGAGGTATGAAGTCGGTATAGTGATTATAGATTTTGTTGGTAATGTTCTTATTATCCGTTGAGAAACAACACGTTCTCGTTAATAGTGATCTTGTTAATAACCCCAAATTATTTAAGAAACTTTAATAAGGGCTAAAATAGTGAGCAACAGGGGGGGCTAAGGTATTGTAATGATATAACTATTGTTGTTAACCTTTTAGTCTACATTAGTAACCTAGTTTGTATCATTATTAATAGGTGTATATAAGTGTAATCAATGTCTTACAAGGAAGGTATTAATAACATCTAGTAAGATAATTAATAATTATTAGTTGCTATCATTACCAAATATTTTGAAAGAGATTGAAATAGCTAGCAAGTAAACGGGGATGGTAAGGTATTGTTAATGATATAACAATTGTTATTAACCTTTTTAGTCTAATTTAGTAGTGTAATTATTAATGAGTGTGTATAAGAGTTATTAATATTTGAAACTAAGATATTACTAATACCTTAGAAGGTAATTAATAGCCATTTTAATTGCATTATCCATGAAACACATGTTAGTTATTAACATTTTTAGTAGTTTTTTTATAGTTTGACCGAATATTTTATTAATACGTTTTTAGCGGTATTTGACATTAAACATTGCATCTGAATAGTAATAATAATTTCTTTTATTTTCAACGAACTTTTATTTTCTTATCAGTGATTTCCTCATTTGTTATTAATGGTTTTGAATATCATTATTAAAACCCTGATGTCATTTTTTATATTAAAGCCTATCATTTTTAACGTTTTTGTTTTAGATTTGAACGAAAAACAACATTTTGATGAACACTTTGGATGATATTTGATAATTAAAATTAAGTCGGACTTTATTGATGTTTTGGGTTTAGTTTCAAGGAAATAGTTTTTCGTTATCAAGGATTTATTGTATTGTTATTAGAAGTTTAGTGCACATGTGTGAATGTCGGTTTGCTTGAACTACTATTTTTCTTTACATTGTCACATGTGCACTATGTCACAAGTGTTGAAGATGTTGAAAATCAATATTGTGCTTTATGATCATTGAGAACGATAATTTAAAGAGATATCAATTAATCGCAAAATGTTAACAATGTCATTGAAAGTCTTTGGAAGAGGGCCATGATGAGAAAATTATAAACTTGACGTGAAAATGTGAATCATAAGTAAAGAGGTTGTAAATTAATGATATTGTTATTCAAACTGTTAATGATAATGTTACATAACTTTAATGATTCAGTCATAAGCGTTGATGACAAGAATGAAAAAAGGGTAACAATTTTTCCAAAATTGTTAATAATGTAATTGTAATGAATTGATAAGTATATTAAAATTGTTGATAATTACAATGTATAGTAATAAATAATTCATTTCATAAACGTTGATAATGTTATTGCAAAATGTTAATACTATATTGCAAGTTACCACGAAGTGTGAGAGAGCGGATATTTTTTAATTTTCAATTTCCATTTTGTAAAGGGACAAATATTATGTTCTTGTTTTATTAAATACTAAATAATAATATTTAATTGTATTAATTATGAATTTCCATTCTAATTATAATTGTAGTGGAGAGAGAGGGTTATGGAGAAGGTCGGGAGAGAGAAAGAGAAACATTAATTGATAATATTAATTATAATCATTATATTTACATAATACCAAATTTACCCTCAACTACCTATTAACTACTTACCTTCCACTAACTACCTAATCCACAATCAACCAATAGGAATAGTTTAAGCATTTGCTTAAACCTATAGGCTTAAGCACCGGGACAAATATTTTGCACGTTGACTGTAATTCGACTAGGGAAAGTCTCTGCTCAACCATTGCTCCTTCCTCGCGAAGTTCACGCCCTGAGGCTCCAAGATCGCGGTCGCCATCTTTGGCATATGGGTCGCGATCTTCAACTAGACTACACGATTGGAGATCTTGGTCGTGATCTTTTGCTTCTAGGCCACGATATTTGATCCTTGCTCCTTATCTACACCTGTGACCTTGTTTTATACCTAATTTGCACATATTTACTAATACACCATATAATCACATCAAAATCAAATAGGAATGAAATAGGGATGTATTTGACAATGTTAAAATGCTTAAGCACATGAATTGACACAAAACACCCTAAGATTGTGAGTAAATAACACCGATTTTGGTGTTATCAAATTCCCCAGCACTTAGGGTCTTAGGCTCTTGCTTGTCCCCAAGCAAACCTACTCAAACCTAATGCAAAATGATAGGCGAATCAATGAGGCATGCATGCTATTTCTTCATTGCATAGATAAGAATATACGGGGATGAATGAACGCTACTACCTCCAACTGTGCAAGCACAAACTCTCGTGTGAGGACCATATCTACTAGCTTAGCCCGATCATTCAAAATGTGCTCCGGGGGATTCTTCGACAACAAACGACTAATAGAACTATAAGCGGTGCTTTTATTCTTTCTTTTGATGTAGGAATTGTCATTTTTCAGACTCCTTTTTCTACGTTCATGCACATTGCATCGAACTCTTGCAATTTCTGACATTGCGTACTAGCATCTCTCCTTCATGACCAAGAGCGGATGAATCATAGCCTTCCATTTAAAGGTCACATGTGGGAAAATTGATGGTCAGATTCGTCTTAGCCCGAGCACCACGTCTCAGCATGCACTCTACATTGTGGTTCCACACATGTTGGGTACAAACGAGAGCTATGAGGTCTCATGAATTGTAAAAGGTACATTTGGTCCTTATCATACGATTCTGTGAGGAGGAGAGGTGTTTGAGAACTTCTTTTATATGGATTTTCCCTAAATACAGTAAAAATTAAAAAAAAATTCCTACACTACAACACTTTCTAAAATTTCCCAAAATGCCAAAGTTTGGCGCTGATCGAGTCCAATAAACTCAAACTACATCCCAGATCGAGTGCCAAATAATCAATCCACGTGCATCGAGTGGAACGACAGTGATTGGCTGAAACCCGACGACGCGAATTGAGTGTAAAGAACTCGATCTGATTAGATCAAGGATGTAGGACTCGATATAGTTAACGCGGATCGATGACTTGGAACTCGCGTCACCATCGATTGAATGAGCGAAACTCGATGCAGGCCGTTTGATTTCTTCGGCCGCGAACATGGAATGACACGAATCGAGTGCATTAAACTCAATGTAAGTAGATCGTCTTTTCGATACTCGATCCAGTTGACACGGATTGATGACATGGGATGCGCTCCACCCTAGATCGAGTTTTGAG